AGAGAGAGAGAGAGAGAGAGAGAGAGAGAGAGCCGAGACACGTATCGTATCCACATTAACCCCTGGCTTGTACGCCATTTCGTCTCGTGGGTGTACACATACCCGAGAATGTAGTATCCTGCGGGAATTCAGTTGTTGCGATTCTGCCTTTTCCCCGGAACCGCCGTTGCATTGATCCTTGGAGTTTCCACCCCCTGACTCCTCCGTTCCCCATCCCGCCTCCTCCCCTTCTCCCTCATCCACCCACTCGCCACCCCTCTATACACGTCGAGCGACTCGCCTACGCGTTTCCGCGGTGACGTCAGGCGGCCACCACGTGGGCGAATTCAAACATCGCCTGCAGAGCCCTCCAGGAGTCGCAACCACCCCTCCACCCCCTGCCCCTGGGCTGGACCATTCAGAGGCCCCCGGAATTTCCGCAGAAAATCTCCCGTCACGCTAGAACTCTCCCTGCTAGTCTTACCACCCTCTCGCCCCTCACTGAGAATGAAAGAGAGAAACTATGACGCACGAAGACTTCTCACCATTTTTTTTCTCACCATGCCTTCTGCCTCATCATCATCTCGTTGTGCCCGGAAAGTTCGCTTCCACGGATTTCACTTGTGGGCAGTCGAATAGAGTGAGCCCCTTCGGGATTTATATGCGTGAATGAGAGAGGGTCCATTTATTGCGGTGGAAGGGACGAGGGGTTATTGATTTTCTGGGGGAGAGCCTTTTTTGGGGGGTTTCCGCGAGGCCGAGGGATTGGGAATAAATTTTGATTATGTAGTCATGGAGAATAGGTTAACTTGTTTAATTTTAGGGGAAAATCGGGAGGTTTTTACGATGAAATTTGCGGGGATAACGAGAGTTTCTTGGTTACATTAACTGTTTTAGAATTTCGGGGTTTTGTTTTGTTAATCTTCAGTGAGCAAAAAATTGAGGATTAATTAAGGGAAAAGTTGAGGGAACTTTCCAATTATTCTAAGGAGGTTTGCATGAAAATAAGGGAAAATATCCCATTCTTAGTTATTTTTACTTCAATTTAATTTAATCTAGATTAATTCAGTAGCGAAATGGTAAAACGGTACAAGTCAATTTTGGCTATTGACCAGTTTTCAATGAATATCTCGGAATCTAAGGGAGATGACAAAATTTTTGTAATAATCTTTTTTGTAGAGCCGATTGAGAGCTACAATAAATGCAGTTACAAAAATTTCGCTATCTCCCTTAGATTTCGAAATATTCCTCAAAAACTCGACTGGGAGATGAGTCGACTTAAACTGTTTTACCACTTTGCTAATGAATTGTTTGCGTTAAAAACCTCAGAATTTTGAAATTCTGTCGTACTGATGTTCAGCGAGAAAACAATCGTGGAAATAATTGAAATTTTCGCTTATTTTGTTATTTTATTTTATTATTTAATTATTCTGTGGAATAAGAATCCACAAATATCTTAAATTAGGAGCCTTCTCGTTCATGTTTACAAATCCTTTATTATTCACTAATAAAGGATTATTAATGGAATGGAATTAATGTTCCATTCGCCAAGACTTCTCACTATTTTTTTATCGCTATCCCTTCTGCCTCATCATCATCTCGCTGTACCCGGAAAGTTCGTTTCTACGGATTTCACTCGTCTGCAGTCGAATAGAGTGAGCGCCCTCCGGGATTTATCTGCGTGGATGTGAGAGTGTGCGGATTCCAGGGGAAG